TACAACAGTACCTGGCCTGTTTATGGACTTAAAACTAATCAGGATTCACATTCCTGGTACTTGAGTAAGGCTGACCCAAATCACATGGCCACCTGCTACCAGAATAAAACTGGCTTGTAATGATGGCTTTTACTTGAAGCCACTGCACCTAGATTTTGTTGCTAGTTTTGCCGTTATCTATGAAGAACTGAAGGGCTGGTCCACCTACTCTTCCCTGGCCTATCTAAAACAGGAATGTGGCATGCCACTGTGCTAGACCAGTGCTCGGCTGTTGGAATCCTGGGTTGCTTGTCCTTCTGAGAACCAGGAGTAGGAGTGGGTCTGTGGACGACATCATACAGGATGGAAATTGGTCTTTTGCCATCCCTCCCAGGTCCTATTCATCTCTTCATTGGTCCATCTCCCCCCACAGCTGTTCTATTGCTGTAAGGGACCCTCATCAACTGACTTCCCACCAAGACCCAGACAGGGTGGGGTGGCCAGTTACTACTGACTGACCTGCTTTGTCTAACTGAACAAAAGGGACTCTAACGAATAGAAATCGAAAAGGGTGAGTTTGTGCTAATTCCACAAAGTTATCTCTAAATTTCATTACTGTTCATATTAAAGGATTAGTTATCAAAATCTAAACAGGATGACTTGTAAGACTCTTCCACAGGGAGAAACCCATAAAAGGAAAGGGAAACTGTCTTTTGACTTTCTAGTCCTCTTGGGTAACATAATTAAAGAAAACTAGAAGAACTACTGTGGGCAGAGGGGGACTAAAGGGGTGGGGAAGGGAGACATCTCTAATACTGTCAACAGTAAATAAATGGAAAAAAAAAATATATATATATAAAACTTGAAGAACTCTCCTGTAGAATGCTAATCAAGTCAGGAAGGACTGAAGAGGACCCGGAACACCATACTTGCTTTAAAAGTGTCCAAAACCTGCAAAAGTAAAAATTAGTTCCGCTTTTGACATATAAACACACACACAAAAAACATAATTTCCACGGGAAAAATAACCTTAAGCAATAATTCCATATATGAGATGTCAGCACATCTTGTCCTAGCAGGGGTCTTCAAACTACGGCCCTCGGGCCACATGCAGCCCGCAGAGGAGTCTGATCCGGCCGGCCAGGTTTTTTGGGCAGTGAGCGCAGCTGAGGTGTTACAGTAGGAATTAGTAGTTCATATAGTCCGGCCCTCCAGCTCTCTGAGGGACCATGATCTGGCCCCCACTTTAAAAAGTTTGAGGACCCTCAAATGTATATTGTTCCTCCATGTATTTTTCTTGGATTTTACTCCTGTCCTTTAGCTAATAAAAAAAATCTTACACACACATACATGACTTACTCCCTACAATAACCCAGGCTTAACAAAACTCATTTTTAACAAGTTGAAGCAATATTTTCTAAAATAGAGCACTCAGAGCAACTGTTTCAAAATCAACTAGGGTGCTTATACTATAAAATAAAAGGCTAATATGCAAATTGACCAAACTGCAGAATGACTGGTTGGTATGACAAGCACTGACCACCAGGGGGCAGACACTTAACACAGGAACTGCCCCTGTTGATCAGTGCAATCCTATAAGGGGAGCATTGCTCAGCCAGAAGCCCTGAGCTGGGTTCACAGCTAGCAAATGCAGTGATGGTGGTGGGAGCCTCACACACCTCCCTGGCAGCCCTAAGGACATCCAACTGCCAGCTTACGGGGGCGGGCCTAAGCTGTAACTCTGACATCCCCTGAGGGCTCCTGGACTGCAAGAGGGCACAGGCTGGGCTAAAGGACACCGTCCCCTCCCCCACCCAGCCAGTGCAAGAAATTCGTGCACCGGGCCTCTAGTTTGAAATAAGGATTTAGCATGCCTCTCCCAGTCCTACTAAATCAGAGTCTCTGAAGCTGGGGCTGAAATTCTGCACATTCTCATGCACATGGGAGTTGGAGAACCACTGAACTGAGGGGGGCAAAGGGCACTGGTTGGACTTTTCAAAACAAAATAGCACTGCCTCATCAATTGTGAGAACATCTGTAAGAAGTAAGGGGTTTACAGTGGGTGAAGTACAAAAGTCAGTGCTTACAGTAGTGCCTGGCACATGGTAGGCGCACCATAAATATTTGTGAACAAATTAATGAAATAATTGCATTTTGTGGATGGCCCTACTTTCCATCTAAGGTCAATCTCAAAATGTTTTCACTTTTAATATTATAAAACAAAACTAAATTCTAAAGACATTGAGAAGGAATGTAGCTTTTGCCAAGGCTGCCAGTTTCTAGAAAAATAATGTAAGAGGTGTTGCATTACATAATGAAGTTCCCCAAATACCCTTTCAAAAGATCTCTCAATTCCCATTCCCTCTGGCAGCTGCCACCACAACCTTTCATCTTTCTTATGAGTATATCCTCCTAACAATTCTCTGCTTCTCCCCTTCATAGGCCTAGCTCAAGCTGATCCTTCTGAACACATTTGGCCTCCCTATTTCTCCCAATTGCACTCCCACTTGTCAACCTGCTCAGCAAATCCCAGAATCCTCCCCAGAATTTACCCTTCATAGAATGGGGTGGGCTGGGAGCAGTGGGAAAAAGGGTAGTTTAACTTTAATAATTTAGTTACTTTCCTCAGGCACTTAGGAGCTCATTAATGGACAGTTGTTACTGATTTTCATTTGAATGCATCATTGGAAATACATAGAGTTTTCCTTCAATTTAACTACAATGTGAAGCAGGTGGATTTTTTTTTTCTTGCCTTGGACCAACTAAAATATCTAAATGGCCTTAAAGGAACCCCCAAACTAACAACCCCAGCAGGAGATTGAGGAGTGTAGGAATGTGTAGTTTGCAATACAGTGATTTCTAATTCCAGTATTGTTCTTATCTGATCATTTACTTGGCAGTGAAGCAAAATTAGTGAACAAACTAAGTTCACACAAGGATTGGCGATGATTCCTAAAGAGCAAAGCTGTCCCTGGGCTTTTGGCAAGGAAAGCACATTGACCAGAAGCAGTATATGTATATGTATATGTATATGTATATGTATATGTATATGTGTATGTGTATGTGTATGTGTATGTGTATGTGTATGTGTACATGCATTTTGCTTATGTTTTTTTTCTAATGTCCAAGGATATGCTTACTGATTTGAGAGGGAGGAAGGGGGTCAGAGTGCGACAGAGAAGAAGAGGGAGAGAGGGAGAGAGAGAAAGAAAACATGGATTGGTTGCCTTCTAGACACAACCAACAACCTTTTAGGATATGGGATGACACTCCAATCAACTGAGTCACACTGGTCCATTTGTTGCATTCGCCCACGGAGAAAATATGAGGAAATCGCTAGTTGCAAACGAGAGATCCACCTGTGAAGATATTGCATGGCTCTCTGTTTTTTCCTATGCGGCACAACAAACTACTCTTTTAAAATAAAAGATCGTGTAGACTTGAACAGTTAGGGGAACCCTGTGAGAGTGAATGCCCTGCCAAGCCGGGTTAGTCTCTTCTTGGGCACACTTCCTATTATCATATTTAAGTTCTGGATTCCTTCTCTCTGGCTTTTAGGCTGTTTGGTGCAAGTGAATCGTTTCTTAGAAACAAGGATTGCGATGATTCACGGTAAGCTTTTGGACACCATAGAATGAACTTCTAAGAAGGAGATCCGGCTTTTACCGCCTGGCTTCTACCAGCTACTGACTGATCCTGGCCAACATTCTCATCACCTCTGAACCTCTGTTTGCCTACTAATCAGGCGAGAATTACAAGTGATCTAACACCTCACAAAGGTCATTTGTCAGCAAACAAGAAAGTCTTACAAAGTCTGTGCTGTGTATTTTCATTCTGCAGGCTGACACTCTATCCAATGAGCCAAACCGGTCTCGGCTGTGCTGTGTATTTTAACCAGGGTCCTAGCAACTCCGCTTCACCATTAAGGTACCCTGTGCCGCATGCCCAGGTCTAAAAGTATTCTCCCCCCCGTACCCCCTCCCCCCACGTTGGAAAAAGTGTCTCAAAACCGAGTACTTGTCTAGAAAGCTAGGGTTGAACACGTGCAGGGAATCCTAGACCAGATTTTAAGAATATCTGCCAGGCTCTCTGGAATCTTTCCTGCTGAGCTGCCAGCAGAAGCTAGTATTGGTGGATTCCAGGTAAAGTCCCAAGTCAAAGCTAGGATGGAGATGTTTCCAGAGTGGTTTTGATGAGGATGTGTCGGTGCGTTTTATGAAAGGCAGCACAGTTTTTAGCACCTCCACCTCCAGCAGCATATAATCTCGGTCCCCACTTAAGGCTGTGACCGTCTTCCCCTGCCCTGCCTGCTTCTGGGGGGAGCAGGCTTCCAGCCCCTACCCCAGGGCCAGCCCCTAAGGAGCTCTGAGGACCCTGCCATCAGCAGCCGGTTAAGACTAGAATGAAGAGTCCGGTGAGGTGATGAACAGGTTTAGGCTGGTTGGAACCAAGCTTTAGTGTTTCCTCTGCGGTTCCTTCCCTCCACCACCTCTAATAGACTAACTGCAACCAAGAAGCAGGTGCAGGCGCCAGTGAGCGGGTAGGCGAGCCCGGGATGCAGGGACCCTGGAAGGATCTGGCTTCGGGATCGGAAACGGCCTCCTCGGTCCTTACACCCTCCTTTCTGCAGCTAAACCTTCCTTCTTCCCGAGGCAGGAAAGCGCAGGGGACAACCTCCCTCCCACCTGGACACTCCACCGCAATCCCCCGCCCCGCTACCCCCTCCTCCTCCAGCAATGATCTCCATCCACCCTCCGCCTTTCTCCCCCAGGGAAACCGCTCCAGCCTCCGCAGCACTCAGACAGCGAATCCCAAGGCGGCGGCGAAACGCTGTTCCAAACAGGCGCGTCTTCCGAGCGGCGCCAGGTGCGCCCTGGCCGCTGTGCCGGCGGCCGCGGGGCGGGGGCGGGGCCCTGTGACTCCGCCCCCCGCCGTCCGGCTCAGGCCGAGCCCGGCCCCGGGCGGGCGGCCGGCCAGTCCGCATGCTCCGCGGCCCGGCGCGCGGCGGCCCCTCGGCGGCGGCGGCGGCGGCGGCACCTGGCGGAGCGCGCGCGCCCGGGTCTCCGTTCCAGGCCGCCACCTCGGCCGGCGCCGCGCGGGCTCCGGGCTCTGCATGCGGCCGGCCTCGGGGCTGCGGAGCCCGTCCCGCGGCTCCTGCAATGTCGGTGGTGGAGGAGGCTGCGGCGAGAGGTGAGGGCGCGGCCGGCGGCCCAGGTGGGGGCGCGGCGCCGGACGCGCGGGCTGGGGTGGACGGTGGACGGTGGACGGGGCGGGCGAGCAGCCGGCGGGGCACCACCAGTTGTGCATACTTTGCTGGCAGCTCGCTTCGGCCAGGCATTGCCTCCCGCTGGCCTCGGAGCCAGGGTCGGCCCTGGGGGCACCCGTGCGGGGTGCCCCGCGGGCCCCCAGGGAGCGGGAGGCGGGCAGGGGCGCCCGCGGTCGTCGCCGGCTTTCGGGTCTGCCCGCAGCCCGGTTTCGCCGTCCCGGGCCGGGCGCTTTGGCGACGGTGAGCTGCTGGCGGGGGACCATCCGCCCGGGGAGGGACGGCGAGCAGCCGCCCCCCGCCGACCCCTGGGCGCCCGCCTCGCCGGCTGCAGGGGCTGCTGCCGGCACTTGTTGGGTTTCATCTTCCTTTCGCATGAAGTTGTCCTGGGGCACGGAAGGAGCTCGGGTTCTGCGGGCCGGGCCACGCGGACCGGGAACGGGTCACGTCCATCCCCGGCTTCGAACGCCGCTCCTCCGCGGGCGGGCAGGGAGCCTGGCCGCGGGCTCACCGCCTTCCCGCACCGCCGCCCGCCCTGCGGCTTTGGGGAAGTCGTCGGGGAAGTTAGTTCTGTGCTTCTTGGAGTTTTGTTGTGAACTGAGTTGGAAGCGAAGCGGTGTCTTCCTCCTTCTTCCTCTCTGGAGTATTCACTAGTGACATTGGTCTGGTCTCTTCGGTGGGACTGTTCTCAGTTATCAGGTGATTATAAAATATCTGCTATTTAAGACACACGGGAGGCAGAAACACACACACACACACACACACACACACACACAGAAATAACTAACTAAAGGAAGACCGGCAGAGAGAGTTCAGGGAAGCAGTTGCCTTTTGGAATATGGTGATGAGTTTATAAAATATCTGTTTAAGACACATACTCTCTCTCTCTCTCTCTCTCTCTCTCTCTCTCTCTCTCTCTCTCTCACACACACACACACACACACACACACAGAGGGGGGTGGGGGTTAGAAATAACTAAAGGAAGATGGGCAGAGAGAAGTTCAGGGAAGCAGTGGATTAAATCTTCACTTCCCTTTTGGAATACGGTGATGAGTTTAGACTCTTCTCCGAAATACAGCAAGGAGGAGTTTTGGAAAATCTAATTCAGTCGTGGGGATTTGGATCATGGGGAGATTGCCAAAATCCTTTCATTTGAATATTTGAAGGCTTTCTGAATGATAGCAAGCACCGTGTTTGAAAAGCGAATGCAGTTTGTTCCGTTGGGGCTCCCTCTCTCTGCTCTTGCCTGTGACTGAGGGTCCCCCGGGTTAGTTACCCTTTTGCCTTAGTTTCCTCATCTGTAAAATGGGGAGAGTTATAGTATGTCTTATAGGTTGTTAGGTTTAAATGAGATACGAATGCATTTAAATACATATAAGTGCTTAGCCCAATGCTTGGAAAATAGCAAGTGCTCCTTAAATGTTAGCTTAATATAGTTAGGTTAATATATAGTTAAAGCTCCAATTTGCTTTGTGAAATTAATAGGTTTTATCTAGCCTGTTAAGAAAGTGTTGTCCCTCACAAGTTAAAATTAGCCAAATTGAAAGATATTTAGGCTTTACTGAGAAAAAAAAAAAAAGAAGAAAAAAAAAAAGAAGAAAAAAAAAAAGAAAAAAAAAAAAAAAGAAACGTGAAAATATCCTACTAGTTCAAAAAGCAGCTTTCACTAGATACGTTTTATGGACAAGTAGTTGGTTGCTTTATTTGAAAACCAAATATGACCTCAGGAAGTGATAACAATGAATTCTTCTTGGGTAAAAGTAGCGAAGTTACAGGGAGGGCCAGCATTTTTATTGGGGTCCTATTATGCACCGGGCATTTATTTCATAAGGAATTACCTTGCTTAGTCTCCTAGCAGCCCTGCCATGTAGGTGGTGTTCTCTCCATTTCATAGATGAGTTGAGGCTGGGCCCTCTCATAACTGAGGCTGGCCCACCGTTACTGCCAGAAAGTGTCAAAACTGGAGTTCAAGTCCGTGGCTCCTGCCCATGCTCCTCTCTCTCCTTTCTCTCCTGTCTCACTGGGTGGTGCTAAGGAGCCCTGTGCCCACTTCCAGACACCTTTTAGCTAAAGAGGGTGAAAAAGGTGTTGCAAGTTCCCCCAGCCCAGGAGGGGAAAAACGAGAAACAGGTCTCTATGTCAGAATACAGGGCCATGTTTTCCTTACACCTTATCCCTGCAGACTCCTGTTTCCTAGGCAGCTTCACAGGAAGGCCCTCATCCGAATAAAAGTCTAAAACTGGCCTCGAGGAGGGCACCCTTTTAAGATTGGTCACCAAAATCAGTGGGTGCTGACCTACTTGCCTGATCACTTTTTCTGACAGGCTCACGGTAGACACTAAGAGTAAGCAGGCTGTCAAGCGATTGGGTGCCCTCCCGGTCCATGACTGCGGAATCCTTGGAGGTCTGGAGAAGGCGGTGTGGGAGGAGCAGCACATTTTCCAGACTGAGGTGGTCCGTGGGGCAGTTTCCTTTCCTTCCCTTCCCTTTCCAGTGGTCTTGCCTGGGATGTTATCAGACCCAGCTCTTTGGAGGTGTCAGTCTGCCTTTCTTGTGGCTTGAATTTGTGTGACTCAGAAATGAAAAGTCAGGTTCCAGTCAGCTTTGCATTGGCCACTATTCCTGGGCTGGAACTTAGGCAGAACGTCAGCCAGGATCACAGTACTCAAGATAAACCAGGATGGACTAAAAGGGCTTTTCACATGTTTCAGGGAGAGGAAAGAGGAAAAGAGAGAAGGGGAGGAGAAGCGAGGGGGAGAAAAGAGAGAGGAGGAGAGAGAGAGGATAGGGGTGGGGAGAAAGGAGTAAAGAGCCAGAGGAGAATGGAGGAGGAAGAGATGGAGGAGGAGAGAAGCGGTGGGCAAGTGAGAGTGTAAGAAGGGAGCACTGGGGAAGGAGAGGGGTGAGGAGAGAAGGGAGGGAGGTGAGAGAAGGGAGGGAGAGACACCATCAAAGTTTGGCTCCAGGAAGAGAAATCCAATCGAATGTTTAAAATATTTAGGGTAAGCTGAACTATTAGTATAGTAAGCACTTCATTGTTTTACTTGTGGAGAGACTCCCTGGTTCTAAAAAGCAAGATCTCTTTCCGTGCTGTGAAAGTGATTGTAACATCCTTTCCAAATCTCCCCCTCTGCGATGGGTGTAATGTTCAGGAAATTGTAAGTCAGGTCATGACATTTCATTCAAACATTCAATTTGACTTCTCTTCCTGGGGTCAAACTTTAATGGTGTGGCAGTTCCTCCCTTCTCTCATCTCCCTCCCTCCTCACTCCTCTTCCCCTCACCGCTCTCCTTCCCCAGGGATCCTTTCTTACACTCTCACTTACCTCCCCCTTCTCTCCCCTTCACTCCTTTCTCCCCATCCCCTACCCCCTCTCTCTCCTCTTCTCTCTTTCCTCCCCCTCGCTTCATTCTGGTAGCCCTCATTTCAACGGTGCCATGTAGCTGAGGGCCTCCAGCTTCCGTTGTGAGAGCTGACTTACTCAGGTGCCTGGGATTGGGCCATTAGTCCACACCTACACTGCCATCTGTGTGCCAGGGCCCTGCAGAGACTAGTGCACCCCAGATATCTGGGAGCCAGTGATTTTCTGTCCTGGTTTCTGCAAGTCTGCTAACGGGCATGGCAGCCCTTTGCGTACCCCTCACCTTGCCCAGAGCCTCCCTCACTCCTGGCTGGAGGCTTTGAGAACTTCGAAGACTCTACAACGCCCCCCTTCCCCCACCCCCAGCCAGATGGCTGGCCAACCTTCTATGCCCCCCCCCCCCCCTTGTCCTCCTCCTCCCCCACAGGCTCAGCCCTGGCCAGGCCTTGGGACCCCACCTGTGCATGAATTCATGCACTGGGCCTCTAGTATACTATAAAGTGTCCCCCCTGATATTTCCACTACCCACCTGGCACCATGTTTAAAATATTTTTACACTTCTTAAAATGTTTAAATCAGTTTGGTAATATACTAGTAACATCAAAATTCTCATTTGAACATACTTAACTGTTGGTTGGCATGATAGGACACTTGTCATCTCAGAAAATAACTGGTATTTAGTGTCTCTAGTCTTTATTCTTGCGGTTTAAGTCTCTAGATCACATCTTCACAGAGAGATAAAGACAGAGAAGGCTGGAAGAATAGGAAATGTAGAGTCAGTCTTCCACTCAGCGTAGTTTGCATTATTAGATGTTTGTGATTGAGGGCCAAGATTATTGTCATAAAACAGTAATTTCAAATACATTCAAAATGCTTTACTTACGATGTTTATCTTCTTTAGCAGGTAAGAGATGTATATACTTTACCATAAGCTCCGAGCATATCACAGGGAAAGTGCTCAAACCTCTCCACTTTATATGCCTACACTTGGTTATGTGAGGGGATCTCCTCTCCCTGGGTGGTTTAAACTTTGCCATCTCCAGGCTGTTGGCTATCCCTGGAGTGCCCCTGCCCTCCCTCCAGACAGGCCTGTAGAAGTCTGTTGTAGTCCTGAAGGTGGGGCTCAGGTGCCACTGTTTTTATCTGCCTAATGAGGAGGGGGAGGAAGGAGAGGATGGGGAGGAGGAGGAGGAGGAAATCTGGGGTAGGAACTAATGTGGAACCAGACCACTGGAGTGTGATTGCCAGTTTGATTATTTACTAGCTGTATGATCTTGGCCAAATAATTTATCTTCTCCTTGCCTCAACTTCCTTATCTAAAAAATAGGGGTAGAAAATAATACCTAACTTAGTCCGGTTGGTGTGGCCCAACAATGGTCACGGTTCCAGTCAAGGCACATGTCTGGGTTTCAGGCTTGATCCCCAGCAGGGGGAGTACAGGAGCAAACTGACCAATGATTCTTATCATTGATTTCTCTCTCTCTCTCCCTCTCCCTTCATCTCAGAAATCAATAAAAAATACATTAAAAAAAATACCTCCCCTAGCTGATTTGGCTCTAGATAGA